GACCAAGCCCACCCAGATCGGCCCTTCACACCGATTACTGGGCCAGAGTTTACCATTCCGCGCCTCCCACTTTACCCTCCCAATGGACGGGTAACTGAGGCTGGGACCCTTCAACATTTGATTGATAGCGGAATCCCAATTAGTTGGATGAACCATAGCTATACCTATGGGCTCCACTATATCGACCATTACTGGACGATGGCAGGTCCTCATCGGGACCTGCTTCGAACTGTTGACAACGATCGGATCTCTCGTCTCGATCGTTGGGGAGTTCCCCCATCCTTACCACAGTGGGATGGGTGGTATCATCCCACCACCGACGACATCACGCGCATTCAGACACTGATGCACGTGGAACTACACCATGACTCGGTGGATTGCTTAGCAAGCTCCGAATGGATGCTTGTAGGTGAAGATCCGCACTTTCGGGAACTGCGTTCTCGGAGGAGAGCCAACTCGCCTCCTCCGAACCTGCCTACTCCCGCTTTATCGGCGTCGACGTCTACCAACGTCGAAATGGCGGCACCCTCGGCACCGGACCCTACTCCTGCGACATCAACCACAGTCGCGGCAGCTGAAACTCCAGCTGCTGAAACCCATGTGGATCCAGTGGCGGCCCTATCCGGGCCTCTGTCTCTCGCAGCGATATCCGCTAGCCAAGGTCCGGCAGATAACAACCCTGCCGACCCTGACACAGAGATGGGGTCTTAATCCAAGATGACACTTGGGCACCTGGGAGGGCCAGCCACCATTGTCAGGGGCCATACCCCCTGTACCGGGTTGCGTATAATCTTACGCAGCAATGCATGTTCAGCATGCGGATATTCTCCTGAACGGCATCGTATTGGCCGTCAAGTGTGGCTATTACCCACTAGTTCTGAAGTCGAAACTACGTGGACTAACACATAGTTTTGCATTAACCAATTTCTGGTGTAGGGCGCTGGACCCTACACTTTCCATAATCTTACTATTTTATTTTGCCTAATCATACTCCTTGGTGAAGATCACTCTTGCCTTGGTGTATATTATAGTACTAGGTTGTACTTTGTGTACATAGGTACAAGCGTAGACGGTTATACGCTACTTAAGGATATCTTAGGAGGCCTATGGGGGCCTTACTTGATCTTATATGCTGGTGCATGCTGTAAGGGCGCATATACCCGGAACCCGCCCAAGGCGGGTTCTGTATCACATTGTTCGGCAACGCCTTCCAGCGTTGCCTAGACTTAGAGTAAATAGATACAAAGCAGACCTTGTAAATTTACCTAGACGTAGCAATCGACAGACCAGTCAAGCTTACGCCTAGCGTGAACACAAGGCCTACCCCCGTAACCCCGTTACACATGCAGAGCTTCACATGTCCATTCGGAAGAGACATGTTCTCGCGCATCCTTAGGTATACATGGAACTGCTGTTTCTCATCGTCACTACTTCACGATCCTGATCGAACATCCATTCAAACGTGTCCCCTACTTTACACAAACGACCCAATGGTTGTGGACAATTCGAAGGCGGTCTTCTGGTTTGCGATTGTCACTTCAAGTCGAGAATTTGTGAAGATTACCTCCTGCCACTTCATGAATGGAAGACTTCGGAATTTCTGGAGGGATGATTGGGGATGACACCAACTGCCCGATGGTGTTCCGCACAGACCGCCTCTGGACACTGTTATGCTCGCTTGGATGTGAATCGTTACTCATGTGCAGGTTTGAATTTATATTTGCTCTAGATCTAAGACGTATCATACTCGTCTCCTGGGGGGTGCTCAAGCTCCAGGACAACGTTGGCCTCTCGTGCCTTCTGTCATGGAAGACACAGATGATCGACCGCTCCCTTCTCCGGCTTTTCCACCTGTTAGAGATGTGATCCCAACCCCTCGTGCTCCCGGAGCCTGGGCACGAGCGGAGCGGCCGTCAGCATGGTGCTGTAGACGAATTTGGTGCTCTCTTTTGTCACCATTCTTGTTTATATACCTATGCGACTCTCTTACTCTCCTGTTTTCTTTCGTTGATTGACGACGAAACCTCCTCCCTACATACTCATCGCTCGCTCTCCTCATCTTCCCCTCTCATGCATTGCCGACGTGAACGTCTACATTCTGCTATCTTACGTAGTTGTGGGCGCTGACACTGAACAATGACGGCGAAATGAAGCAAGTACTGTGATATTGACTCGGAACAACAGCTAACAGACGGTAGACTATGGGCGCACACAGACCCCGTCGAATGTAAAGCCCTATCACTCCAATAAATCATCAACAAATTTGAGATTCGATGGGCGATCGGTCTTCTCATTGAGGTAGACTCCTGGGAAAGTCCTACATCACGATGAGGTGAGAATGAGCGATCAGAAATACTTGAAACCGCTGACCTCCTGTCAGGACCAAACTGTAATTTGCTAAAGCTTCATGGGCTGGTTGGGCGGCTTGAGGGCGTCCAATATTGTACGATCCCCAGTCAGGCTCGCCGCCACCCGGAGCCTAAACCTTGCAATCAGTAAGATCCTAAGGCTCAATCGAAGAACCATTCACCGTTCACTGTGCCCTACTGTGCTGCGTCTGCCCTCGAGCATCAGGTTGTAAATCAATCTCCAGGTGCTTCATAGGCTCAAGGGGCTCCTGTAGAGATGGTCGAACATCTGTGCGTTTAGTCGGGGTTCGCTCCGGGTCCTGCGGGGATGGATCTCGGGAAGATGGCATGGCTAGGCCGACTGTGAATGAGATTGGTTTGAGTTAAATGGGTTCAAAGGATGAGAGAAGATCAAGCTTCGAAGGACATATATATGTGCATGAAAACAAGGTTTGCTTGTAATATAACGAAAGCGCACAAAAAACATGAATATGCAGAACGCCAACATCCTAATTCGTGCGAAGGAAAGAGGCATATCAGGATGGAACAATGCAAACCAATGACAAAGGCTTGATGTCCGTTGCCCTAGGGATGTTCGGAACAAGAGTCATTCTCCTTGCTTCGCTCTGGCAAGGGCGATATGCCGCTTTACTTGTCTCTTGAGGTGCTTGTTGTCAAGGCGATGGCTGCAATAAGAGTGTCATTGTCTAATCAGTCAACACAGAAATGTTTCGTTGAACTACTGAACAGGTAAAACGACGCACGCTGTTAATAGGAACATCGTGATGTGCAGTTGCGCGCCGTTCTCGTTGCAGGCTACGACTCGAGACAATGGTTGCGACGAGAACGATTGTCTATTGATCAGGAGCCACAAGTCTTGATGTTCCGTCGGGTTGTTATTCACAGGCGATTATGAGGAGAACAATGCAGGACCATCCGAAGTCTAGATCTGGAAGGGCCCGCGAGCTTCTGAGGAAAACAAGAGATAACTTGGAGATAACGATTGTTGTTGATCAAGTCAGGTGACCACCATTCAACCACCATATCTGAGCGAATTCGAAGCAGACGTTGAATAACACCTCGACCACGCCCAAACATCTCAGCTTAACGCTCGTCTTACTCATGAGCAAACTCCTTCTTTCTTGCCACCTGGGTATTAACCACGAACTGGAACGCGATCCCCCCTCAGGGCCGTTTGTGTTTCAACGGGTCACTCAGACCGCCGATCTCTCCACACCAGCCGTTACACTGTCTTACCACATCGACAAAGTCAGCGAGATCTACGAAGGCGATTACACTACTGTATACCGTGCATCGCTTCTCGGCCACGAGTCAGGCGGACAGCGTAGCATCGTGCTGAAGACCGACGTCAACGCACGATACCCGCGTTCTGCGATGTTCAGTCAAGAAGCCCTTCGGTACGAGAAGGATCTCACACACCTGCAGGGAACCCACATTCCCTGTTTCTATGGGCTCTTTCAAGCGACGATGTACGACAAACTTGTCTCCGTGCTGCTGCTGGAGGACTGTGGCGAAAGTATTAACTTGCGCGATCATGAGAGTCTTTCGGACTCGGACAAGTGAGTACCCACATCGCCCTCATTAATTCATACTCAACAAAGTGTGCTTAGAGCTCAGATATTCAAGCTATTCACGAAACTCCATGCGAGCGGTTTCGCGCATCACGATTTTGCCGGACGAAATATCGTGAAAAACCAAGACGGCAAATTCTTCCTCCTCGATCTCGAACATTCGACGCCACACAAGTGTGAAGCGCGGACCAATGTTCTCATCGGCGATTTTGCTCCCGGTAGAGAGGAATTTGGGTGTCCAGAGTTGTATGACGTCGCTATCGCACTGGACTTTTGGCTGCCAGGTATGTACACAATCTTCGGATTTCATGCTCATTCTGAAACGATCCACCTAGCAAATCTGAAGTTTTATGGGTTCCACGTGCCCGTTGGCGCGTTCCAGAAAGGGGAATCCAGGAATCTCGTCGCGCTCATACCGTCTTATATGCTCCCAACGCAGGAGGACCGTGACGAGGCTTTACGATACGCCGAAGAGATGATTGAAGACGTCCAGGCCATTCAGAAAGAGTTCGCAATGGTTCCTGACGAAGCACGATACCCCCACCCGTCCTACATTCTGAAGGGGCGCTCCACCTCGAAGCCACCAGCACCCGCGTAAGATCCAAACCCCATGTCCGCAGCCTCCCGATGCACTGTCATAGACTTCGCAGCAGCAACGCCATCGAGTGCCATCTTGGCAAGTTCAAACGCGACTATATCTTCTCTGGTGACACGGCTTGACGGCGGTGTTCTTTCGACGTGGTGGAAGAATAACGCAATGATCTCAGGATTTGCAGCCCATGAAGTTTCATCCCTAAGTATTTCAGGAAGGGATGGAAGGTATTCGAGTGGTTCCTCTGTCGCCCCGTCCACGAGCTCCATCATCTAGGAAGGTTCAATCCACTACCCGTTAGAATTCACTATAGATAAGTACAATAGGAGGTATCGTACTCGAATTGCCTGAGATAGAGCGGGGTCTTGCTGCGGCGCGGCCGCCGCCTCTTCATCGGGTCCGGGGAGAAGATTGAAATTGTAAAATTGATGAACCTCAATCGGTGAAAGGTTTGGAAGGAAAAAAGAGTGGACACTGTGGGAATTGAACCCACGACCTCACGCATGCAATGAACCGGGCTGGCCCAGATGAGGATGCGAAGCGTGCGCGCTACCCCTGTGCCAAGAGCCCATGAGACTTCGGACATAATGGTCATGTTCGCCATTGCTATAGTACATAGCCTCCTTTAGCAATAGACCATTTGCACCTTGCTACCCTTTGCTACCTTTGCTACCCCAGCTTGCCGTCCATGCTCAACACCCTTCTCTAGTGGTCAAACGACTGATCTGATCTAGCTCCAGCGCCGCTACGGATCCTGCGTCCACTGAATCGTAGACCTGTCCTCAACCTCGGGGTACGGGTCGATGCTTCTACATCACGGCCGTTATGATTATGAGTGGGGGGCAGCTTGGTGTGCGTAGCGGCTTATGAGTGGCTACGATTCTGCGCCAGGCTGTGGTTATGTGGTATTGGTGCATCGGGGCTCGCTATCCCCCATTTCCATCGGCCACGCTAGAGTACGGAATTTGTTGCAAAATGATGATGCACTGCTTCCAGACTGGTGGGGCAACAGAGTACCTTCCGTGCAGCACCTGTGTGGTCTCGCACCTGATGAGTTGTTCAGATGTCGGGCCGCTGGCGGTCTCAAGTCGGATTAAGATTGAGGACGTTGACATTCTACCTCTGTTCTGCCTATCTTTTCATCTGGCTCGGCACTTACCTCTTGGTATGGTTTACTGGAAGACCTGTAGAATGAATAATTGACAACCGAGGTAGTTCAGGTAAATCGGACTATACCTACACAATTTCTTTTGGTATCTTATGCTCTGAAAGCCTTGGGCGGGTGAGTCGCAAACAACTTCACGACAGTGGTCGGCTTATGGGTTCGCCCGTTTGTCGTTCACCTAAGTCAAAGCTCGAGGTTAGCATAGGATTTAGGATCAAGCCCAGCCGAAAGCGAAGCCTTGCGCAAAAATCTCCTCCTCGCAAGCCCAGAAACCGGTCGATATCCAATGTCAATGGGTGAAGGACATGGGACGTAAGAAAAAAGAGTGGACACTGTGGGAATTGAACCCACGACCTCACGCAAGCATCGATAGGTACGAATGCGAAGCGTGCGCGCTACCCCTGTGCCAAGAGCCCATGTGAACAAGTCGCGCGGTCGACGTTTCGGACAGGAGAAAAAACAAATTTTGGTCCACATCGCAATCGATTGTTGTTGTTTACCAAGTGCTTCCAAAAAAAGGTATCCTCAGCCTTCATCTCAAATTCTGCAGCTAGCAACTATGGCGAAAACATCGTCGGCCAAGACCGCGAATGCTACCAAGACAAAGAAATCCACAAGATCTGCAGTAGGCGCACCGTCCCAGCTCGGCCAATCGAGTCGGAAAGGGAAGCGTGCATGGCGGAAAAACGTCGATATTCAGGATGTGGAGGAGGCCTTGGAGGGCATGAGGGCGGAGGAGAGGGTTACAGGGTAAGCTTGTTCCTTGGCTTTGGCTGCGAAGCTGGACTCTAATTCTCGTTCGTAGGAAACCGCTACAGGCAACGAAAGATCAAGACTTATTCCAGATTGACGTTACAGGCGATGCCCAAAGTCCGTTCTCACTCTCCATCGCTTCATACCCCTACCGACATCTAACCTAATTTATAGTGCGCAAATCCCAACGATTCTCCAGCTCCCAATTAACATCAACCAAAATCCTTGCCCAGCGATCAGCTGTGCCCGCTGTCTTTTCTCGACCCTCCTCTGCCTCCCAAAAACGGAAATCAACCGTCAGCCATGAAGATAAAGCCCGCCTCCTCAGAGTGGGAAAGCGTCCCCGCAAAGGACCTTTCAACAGCGTGGTCGACCCAGCAGAGTTCGGTGCCGGAAGCGCACTACTGGAGCTGAGCGAGGCTGTAAAAAGTAGTGGCAACTACGATGCATGGGCAGCTCCACCCCCCCAGGAGCCGCTCAAGGACGGGCTTGAGACAGTACAGAAGAAAACGTTCAAGGTATGCACCCACCCACTGTGTCTTACTATGCCCGCTTAAAAAATTAAATCCCAACCCGGATAGGCTCCGGCAGGTTCTCATGTCCGGGACGCAATAGAAATCCCCGCCATCGTCGAGCCCCACCAAGGAACCTCATACAACCCCCCCGTCGAAGCGCACCAGGCGCTCCTGCTGCACGCCCACGAGCTCGAGGAGCGCCGGATCCGGGACGCGGAAAAGCTCGCCGACGTGAAGGAAAAGATACAGAGCGCCCGGCAGGATGCGGAGGACGAGAACCCGGCGTTGCCCCCTGGGATGAAGTTGCATTCAGACGTGGCGGGGGAGGACGACGACGAAGAGAGTGTGGAAGGTGAGGAGGAGGTGCGGGCGAAGAAACTCCCACCGAGGAAAACTCAGGCGCAGAGGAAGAAGGCTGCTCGCTTACTCGCTGAGGTATGATCCCTTCCTTCCATCTTGCGCCTCCGCAGCTTTTTCTGACGCATATAACCCCCCTTGACCAGAAACGCGAGCTGGCTGAACGTGTTGCGCGGAAACGGATGCTGGCGGTGATACCCTCCGCGAAGAGTCTGCGACGGACCAACAACAGACTCTTGTTGGCGTGGGAGGCGGCGCATGCACAAAAGCAGACGGCTGCGACGGAGAAGCTGAAACAGCACGGGCTGGCGGGTCAGAAACTGGGGAAGCATAAGGTCCCTGAGGGTGCTGTTGATGTGCAGCTAGGCGAGGACCTCAGCGAGTCTTTACGGGCGCTCAAGGTGCGTTGGCGGTCTCTTTCCACCTCTGCTAGTTACTGATAGTCGTTTTGCACCTGTAGCCGGAGGGCAATTTGTTCCGGGACCGCTTCCTCAGCTTGCAACAGCGTGCGCTTGTTGAGCCCCGTGTTCCTGTCTTGTACGTGTGCCTTTTGCCGCTGGCCGTTATGGATCTGACCGGCCACTATTTTAGGCCCAAGAGGCGTCGTGCGAAGATGGTCGAGTATGAAACGCATGCAAGGAAGCGGTTTGAGTGATTGGGCGATCATGGAAGGGTTCTGAGAATGGAGCCTCTTCCTTATACCTCGTACGACGTGGCGTGGTATACACATTTCATCTTTACTATTAGCCACCCGCAAGACTGGTTTAACTAAACTTGCATGATGCGAGATCTTGGCTCTAGATGCTATGTGCGACGGTCGATTGAGTTGCTCGCAAACACATCGTCCACTAACATGCCTGCTTCATCTCGTTTCGCATTTAAACTGATAAGTCAAGAATCTTCCTGTACAGATAATCCCATTTCGCCATGAGCTCGTCAGTGGAAACCTGACATGAGAAGCCACCGGTTGGCCTCCCCGCACGTGGACAAGACTGCCCTGTCGCAGTGGACTACGTGACTCCTTGCCAGTATATCAGTTCGGTACGCTCGCCCGTCATCAACATAGTGAGATGAGGCACCTTAGCGTGCGAGAGCTAAGTTCGGCTCCCGGGCAGGGAGATATCTTCAGAAAGAAAACTGAGATGTGGCGGCACGGGTCGGTCGATAACAATGTTCCATGGCGTCAAACATTGTAACGCTAATAATACACAAGAAATGCCGTCCATCCATTGTGTAGCTAACGAACAGGGATAGCACTAGACGTCCGCTGCGAAAAGTCCAACTACGCAGGCAAATCAAGAGAAGTAGCTGAGCCCAAGCTTCTGCACGACCTTATCCGTGAAATCGGTCGCAGGCGTTCCCGTCAAAGCCAAGCAATCTACCCGTGCAGAGGCTACATGAGGCAATTTGAGACGATCTTCAATACAAGACAAGAAGTACGACATACTGGGGCCATCATACCCAGCACCACACACATAGTACGCCTTGCCCGCACGATGTGCGAGACTGTACGAGCAGTCGCTCAGCAAAGTGCATTACACATGAACCAGATGAGCTTGAAACTCACGCGACACAGGTGTCAGCCCAAATACTGCAGAATTCGTCGATAGTCTGTCCCTCTGGTATCTACACAAACATATCCGAAATCAATTTCCTCCTCCTCGTGGTACGCCGACAATGACGACATACCACGACCTCGCGCGTGACGTCCGCGCGGGCGATAACAGCTGCTTGGGTGGTGGCAGCCATGCCGACAGCGAGGAGGGGAGCGAGTCTGAAGAACATTATGGAGGAGTAGAGGGAGGAGACGGGGGAGGGCTAGGACTTGTGGTCATCGTGTTGATGGGCCTTTATACGTGTATAGGAGTGGCGAAAGGAGGCCGTCTCGCATTGCCGACCTGGACGGTCGTAGACTACGTGTGATGGACGGCGGTTGGATTTTTGATGAGGAGGATCGTTTTGGTCATGGGGTCAACGTCAGCGAAGTTATTTTTAAATCCACATGTCCCCGTTTACTTTAATGGGGTTCGCCCAGCAGACGTGCAGGCAAATGAATATGAAAGGAAGGAAGGAGGAGCCTGAATCGCGAACATTGACTAGCCCCGGAACATTGACTAGCCCCGGGTCACGAAGTTAAATGAGAGGTCGGAAGCGGCCAGGGGGTAATGTGCAGGTGCCTCAGGTAGGCCAGTATGGAAAGGATGATTGCAGAATAAAAGGAGGTGGAAGTGCCGACAACAGAGGCTATTCAATACAGCGAGCACAAGTAAATTGAGGAAGTATGTGCAGCGCGTACTTCATATATGTCGTCTAAAACAGAGTTACTCCTACGTCCGCAGCCATGCCGTCTTCGCCAGTTTCTTCTGTTTCTTCTGCTCCTTAAAGCGGTCCTATAGCACGGCTTAGTATGCCTGACTCAAAGGAGAATTAGAAGATCACGTACTAAGTCCTTCTTGCTCGGGCGTTTCCTCTTTTTATTCTCCTCCTCTCCACCCATAATACTACCCCCTTGCGTTGCCAGCTGCTGCTCCCACGCGCCGACATCGAAATAGAACTCGCTCATGCGGGCTGCACGTGCATGCTCCGACAGATGTGTGGGATCCCGTGCGTCGGGGCGGGCGAACTGACCGGTCCGTGCGTTGAACTTCGCAGTGAAGGCGGGAGGAAGGCCTGTGGGAGCGCCAGAGGAAGAGGGGATAGAGGAAAGAAGTGTAGGATCAAGGTGCGCAAGGGAGGGGTCGATGCCCGCGGCGAGGGCGGCGGCTTCTAGCGCAGCATGG